ATGCGTACTGCTGAACAGTCCGAACAGCTATCCAGCACACAGTGGTTTCCGATGGTTCTCTTAATGATGTCAATTTCATGACCTGACTTCGAGTCTATCCAGTCCCAGCAAACCAACACTTCAAAGATACAAAATTCACTGAAGAAAGAAAGGAAGAACATATTTGCGCGGCACTTCAGACACAGTAAGGGGTCAAACAGTTTATTAACTGAATTTATAACCTACAATTGTAGACTTTAATAGCATATGGGAAGAAACTCAGAAAATCTCTGGTAGTGCAGAAACTAAATGAAGAGTTTCTACTATCTCCCGAAAAATACATAAACAATTTTCCAAAAATAAGACTAAACAAAGTTGAAACAGAAGCTCTACCTCTACGATTTAAATACCACGTGCCTAACTAGTTTTTCAGCAGAAACGCATTTCGGGTGCTTAAAAGATGGCCTGTCTGACTTGAAACCTATACACGAAGAGGTAGAGTGTTTTTTTCCAGTCCAGGATGGACGATATTGCGGAACACTGCCAAATTTCTCCTGTTACTCAGTCTAAGTTGTTCACTAAAAAGCAAAGATCAGAGTTGAAAAACTTATAAAGCGATGAAAAATTGCGTGGAGGATTTCATCATAAGCTGACATTGGTTAGAGAACCATTGGAAAACCTGGGAGTACTGAACAGCTGTTTCGTCCTAGTTTGGTAACTTCACAGTAGGTACTCACCTGGGTTCGAACACAGGAAGTTCTGGTTACAAGGGGAGCTCGTAGACCATTGAGCCACTGGGATCCGATCCAATGGTCCCTGAATTCTAACTTCTGCTAATTCACGACATAGCGCGACCATTTCGCAATGCCTTCTTCGATGAGAAGAGTAGAATGCTCACCAGCCACATATGTGATTCAAATCCCGGCCGATGCACAGCTAAACCTTTCTAAGCCGGTAGCAAGACCCTTACAGAGGGAAGGTTGAACACGGGGCTAGCTACTCAATCCAAAAAAGAACAACACAACCTCCCCTGAAACTTCGAGCCCTATGTTCCGCTGGGGACGGGAAGGAGTAAAATAAAGAAAAAATAACCAAGGGAACCAGTTGCTTGAAAGAATTCATTCCCTGGTGTCATATTTGAGTCCAGTTGATCCTAACATTCTGTTACTCCTGCCACAGGTAACAGCATTTTTTAAAGAATGTGTTTCGGTTTGCGTAAAATGCGTTCAAGCGACCTAGGTCAGAAAAAATTCGCAAGCGAATAGCAGTCCTTTGGTGTGGTGCAGATTGATAGGAGGCAGCCAAAACTAAAACCAAGATTTTAAGTAAGTGACTGCAGTGTTTACTTTGTGAACATAAAGTGGTATAATAAGGTGAGCGATATTGAGGTTAGGCGTCGAGTGCTAGGTAAGGAGGGGAAATCAATCGATAAGGCTATGAAATTACATCGACTGATATGGTTAGGACACATGTTACGTATGCCCAGTTATCGCCTTCCTCGACGGACAATGTTAGCTGACATAGGGTCAGGCTGGAAAAGAGTCAGCGGCGGTCAAACCAAAACATGGCACCAATCAATGAAATCTACAACAGTTAGTTTAAGCCACGTAGGAAGGTGTAGCCTACAGTCAATTTAGTTTGCTGATATCAGTATATGGGTGTTGAACTTTTTAGGAGAAAATCTAACGGTTACACTAAATGAACATATGTGCTGAGTATCAACAACTGATCAACCTCCAGCATTATACGAGTTCAATCCAATCTAGGATGGTCAAGATGTCCATGAGGTTTCCTAAAAATCATATACCTTCAAATTACACTCTGGTCAGACCACTCCTGATTCTACTTCGACCATTCATTGTCTTAGTTACTTACGCAACATCAAACGAAACCCAAAGTATACATCTCTATCATCCTGCTGGCACATTTTGGTGTTCATCATTTAGTCAAATATTATCCGTATAAACAATACAGATGCCAAAACGGTGATACTGTTGGATACAAAGACAGTTTTTGCCGGAAACACACACACACACACACAACGACATTCACGACAATCACCTTTCGGATATCCTATTCTCAACCAGTAGTTTGGTAGATACTTCGCGTACTCATGCAACTGCTGAGAATAATCAAACACCAGCAGAAGCACTAACAGGAAGGAGAAACTGTCAACCACACACAACACACTTTAATACCAAAATTACCTACCTGTAAAGTAAATCGCCAATCAACCCCAAAATCTTCAGAGATTATAAAGCAGGAGACAGTAATTTAAATGGATGAATGAATTAATTAATCCCGGACGTTGTCATGTCAAGCATGATGTCATAGTCAACACAGACATGAGGAAAGCAAAACAAAGAGTGTTTTCATTAAAAATATATATATATATATAACATATTTTTATTTCGATCAATTATCAGCTATACATAGAGACACAGACACACATAATAATAGTTTAGTATTATTTCTCATTATTCTAAATAAAACTTGATTACACATCGTACTACTTCGGAGAGAATCACTGTTGTATTGTTGTACTGTCTCTTCAAGGAATTTCAAATGCAAATCTTATCATGAATAATGAATTACTTTTTAAAGACGAAGAGATTGATATAAAGTAGTGAGACATAGAGAGAGAGAGAGAAATAAGAAAGGTGAAGCAAGAGTTTAGCGTATATATATTAAAAAAAACTTTACATCAGCAGCAGTATACAAATGCCTTGAAAAATAATAATAATAATATTAAATATCATTATTATAACGAATGTACTAATATTACGAAATACATAATAAATGTCTTCACAGGAATCCAAAGTAGTAAGTATACCAACTATAATTATTATTGTTAGTCTTGTTAGTAATAGCGATAGCAACACAGGAGAATAAATGGAAGAATTATATATATATATATATATATATATATATATATATATATATATATAATAGGCAGACAATAGGGAATGAACAGATAGTAGCAATAGTAGTTGTTGTTGTCGGTGGTGGTGGCGGTGTAAAATGGGGCGCTAAGAGAATAAGGTGGTCGTGGTGGGTAACAGTATATATTTCATGAAAAAATGAGAAAGTCGTAATTAATAATTGACAATTAATTAAAGTATAGTGGAAAATTGACGAAGAAAGAGAGACAGAGAGAATGAAGCGATATTCGTTCGTCTTTTCTCTTCATTGATTCATTATCGTCGTTATTATTGTATCATTCAGTATTATTTGAAGCGTTTCGATTCTTTCTTTAGAAATAACAGTACAAAAGAAGGAAGAGAAGGGAATGAAAGCGTTAACAATGCAAATATATATTTATTTAAGTACTGGTATGCATAGCAAAATCGATTTGCCGATGATTAGAGCAAAGCAACAACAACGGATAGAAAGAATACTTGTGGGGTAGGGCATACATACTGAACAACAAATATCTACGGGAACAATAATTAAAAACAAGGCAACACATAAAAAGGCGAAAATATCTAACAAACAGTAATATTATTAGTATTAGTATTATTATTGTTATTGTCAGTAGTAATGGTAGTAGTATAGTTAGTTATTAATCGTAATAAACAAACTTAAGCAAAATAAAAGGAAGCCAGTAGAAATTTTAAAATGTACACAAGGTGTTTTAATAGAAAATTGATTGTAAATTTATTTATCCAGTTAAACATATTATTAGTAGTAGTAGTATTACCCTCAATATATATGATGTTTTAATGAGTGAAAATAAGTGAAATGTGCAACCCCCCCCCCCCTTCTTCAAGGTGAACTGATGATCAAACAGAAGCATACATCAGAACACATGCAGATACACATAAACACACAAACATACACACGATCCTTTTTCCTATCCATCCATCCAACAATGAAAACAGCAGCAATACTAACAGATAAGAGAGAGAGAGAAAGGGAAAGGAAAAAGTGTTTGTTTATGTAGAGTTAACTCATATAATCCCCTATTATTCTAAAACGTTTGGTTATTTTTTAAAAAAAAAAACTTTTTTTACTATCAGAAAACTTGAAGATGCGCATAGCACGCAATAATGACAAGGCAGTAAGTAGGTAATACTTTTTTTTGCTTTATTATTCCTGTCTCTATTATTATTATTATTACGAATACTATTTTACTCATATAGGAAGCTGAAGAAGCAAGAAAGAGTTTGACCATTAGTTCAATATGATGTGAAAGAGTAGAAAGATAATCTGACAAAAAATAAAAAATAATCGACTAGGTGATGCGTTGTTGTTTTATTCGTAGAACTTGGTCTTTTCGTGAAGAAGGAGCAAAAGAAGAAGAACAACAAGAACAGCTCCAAAAAAGGTGAATAAGAAGTTAGCGCGCATATATATATATATATAAATGTATATATATTGGAAATCCACTGGTGTAAATTAAAACAAAACAGAGAGCGAAATAGAAACAGAAATTATAGGAACTATCTAAAGCATATGTCAATCAACGGATATACAATTATATATATATATATATATATATATATATATTCCACAGTGTGCATAGGATGTAGAATCAAGGAGAGAAGCCATAGACAGAGCGAAAGAGAGAGAGAGAGAGCGAGGAAGGGAGAGATCAACTAAGTAGCATACTTATATATATGATAAAATATATACCAGGAGAAATGTATATCAGAATGTAAATCAATAAATACTGAAGTGAGTAATAAGTTTAAGACAAACAATCTTGTCTATCTCTTAATAAAAGATGTCATTCAACTACTCTATTATAGGAATTTTCACTAAAATGATAAGCTTAGTTAATACGATAATAGTAATAATAATAATAACCATTTTGGCTACTCTATAAAGCTATCAAATAATAAGTAAATCATTGCACTACTACATTAATATAATTATCTTGTTTCTTTTCTACATTTTGAATGGGAAGAAATACATATATACATACACATAAAAAGGTTACCTAAAGTGTCATGATTAACTATTACACACATACAGACATGAGAATATAACAAATTCAGAAACTATTCATTCTCTTTTTGTCATGATGTTCGATCTGATTTCAAGTGTATCACATTGGGAACAGGATTAAATTGTGATAAGGATGAATGTCCTTTTTCCTCGTCCTCCCTCAATGAATGTGGCGTTAACAGTACTGTCGAAATACTGAGTGGATGTTGTGTTGGTGAATTAGAAATAATACAATTAGGCATTAGAATAACATGTCTGTTTGTTACAGTATTTATAATAGTCATTTTAGCCGTAGCAGTAGTATTAGTAGTGTTTATTGTTTTTGTCAATGTATTACTAATAATAGTGCCTAAACGGCATAAATTAAGCCAAACAGGAAGCAATGTGAAATTGTTTAATGAATTATGAATACTTTGCAACCATATAAAGCAATAAAAAGTGAATGATATCAGAAATATAACAGTAAACGAAATATTATCAATCTTAAGCATAACACCACCACCACGAGGACCACCGTTAGATGACGATGAATAATGAAGTGTTGATAAAGATGCATTTATAGAATCATTTCTAGATAGATTATTATCATTATTATTATTATTATTATCAGTATTTGTTAATATTGTGGTTTCATCATTTAAATTCATAGGAAATTCTGATACTGGTATGGATAATAATCGATGAAGACATCGATCACGGAGTTGAGTACATGATTGATTATTGACATCTTCATTATTATCATTATAATTAAATGAAGAGGATGATAATGACGATGCCGATGAATAGGATAAGAGTACATCTGAGTGAAGTGAAGATTGTTTACTGTCAAAAGTGGATAGAGATAGAAGTTTTGAGTCTGTTATACCAAAACAACATTCAGATTCACATGTATCCACATCCCAATAGACAGCTTGATATCTCGAACTATGATGATAATGACTCTCTATAATAACAGATAAATAAATAAACAAATAAAGTTAAATTATAAATATATTACTTAGCTAACAAATAAAAATGAAACAATTTAAAATAAACTAATGTTAACTCTAATTTCTGGATGGTGACTAGCAGTGAAATCCATGGTGCGCATTTCGTCCTATTTTGGACTCGTCAGCTGGATGTACCTGCATTTCACAGTAAGTGATGATGTTCCCATCAAGGCTCGGGCAAGAGATGGCTCTCGTGGCCCAAGTTGTCTAGTGAATAACGCTCTGGCGTTTGAAACTATGGGTACTGGGTTCGAGCCTCGGTGGGAACATCATCACCCACCCAGCTAACGAGTCCCAAATAGGACCAAATGCGCATCCTCACTGGATTCCACTGCTAGTCACCAACCACAAATTAAATTTCAATTAAATGCCCAGACATCTTCAAAGCATCTGAACAAGAAGCCGACATGTAAACTTGGGACTGAGCACTTCGGTTCAATCAATCGACGGGAAAATCTAAAAAAAATTCAGTTAATGTTAACTCTCATAACGACAGCTATTTCACCATCTCTCATATATTAATAGAGTAATTAACTAACTACGAAATTAACCACTTATATATAAGTAATAATACGATTTTAAGATCAGGTGACTGTGGTTATTCATTCTTGAAGATTTGCAGCACATATAGCTGAAACATCCTCCTCACTGCTTGATTCCCTGAATGATCTGAAGCTTACTTCAGAAGAAATCCATCATGAAATCATAATGAAATCTTGACAAATACAACATCTCTGGAAAAAAAGAAGATTAACCCAGTTTATTATCATTATTATTAAATAGGCAACCGTCATTATTCAAAATGCATGCACTTAATTGCTTGACTTATACATTTCATTATTTTTATTATTATTTTTCAGAGTAAAATATTGTATTTAAAGATAAGGTCTGATGACATGTGGACAAAACTATGCAGTATTTACTATTAATTAAATATAAAAGAGTAGGCATATCTCCATGTTGTATACAATTACAGTGACTATTTTCATGCGCAGTATATATATATATATATATAACACAGATATGAAGGGGAAATATTATTGCATGAATCAAACAAAATATGAAACCTGTCTTCTTTTTTTGCGCGCTTTCTCTCTCTCTCCCTTTCTGTCATAAAAACAGCAACAAAATTAAAAAAACTAACTAACTAACTAACCATTTATTGCTATGTGACAGTAGAATAATTCATTCAGCTTATATACTGATCAGTTAGAAAGAAATTAATTTCACTAGGTTGAATATCTACTACTTTACAAATGAATTTATAATTATTCTTATTATGATTATTATTATTATGCATTCCAGTTGTTCGGTCTCACTGGTATATTGGGAATTCAGAGGCACATCTCTGTTTCAGTCTATTGGATGAGACGGGTTTATCCAACAGTCTCCTCAGAGTATATCCAATCAATAACCATTCCCTGGTTGGGTAATAGGTTCTCAGCCGCTTAACTTCCAGAATACATTGCTGCATATCCTTTTCGTCCGGTTGTCTGATCATCACTATAGAGTGAAAGTAGTTAGATGTTAATAATAAAATGCTGTAGCTCATTGCAAATGCTTGTAGTGAACGACATATCTCTGAACCATACAGAAGTACTGACTTGAAATGAGCGTTCCTTATGCTAAGTAGTACAGATTTCCACAATGATTTCATAGTAGTGAACCCCTGCTTCTCTTACGATATCCGATCACCATTGGCTGTGATATCTTCATCCAAGTGTTTGTAGTAGCTGTTGGTTGAATATCTTTATCACCTCTATCCTCTCTATAATCTATCAGAAGTTCTGTGTTCGTTACCTATTTTGTCAACTAGTTGGTTTTTGCATGCATACGTTCGTCTGTGTGCAAAGTCCAGATCTTCTACGACCCTTTTGTCATTGCAACGTATGCATATCTTCTCACTTCCCTCAGATTGCAGAGTAATCCTGTCCATCTCTGTGAAGAAGATTATAGGTGATAGTTGGCAGCCTCGCCTGACTTCTACTTTCACCTCAAACGCTTTGGTGAGCTCTCTATTATGAATTATTTGGCATGCAGCGTTATGATACAGATGTTAAATGAGGATGTCAACGATTGGCAGCACTCTGTTGTTTTGATGCAGTTACTAAAGTATTTAGCGGTTGACAATATTGAAAGCTCACTAAAAGTCGATAAATTTGAGGTAGACTACAGGTTCTTCTGTTCGAAGATGGGGCATAGTGTTGTAATTTAATCCATACATGACATACTTTTTTCCTGAATTTGGCCTGTTCCAGGCATCTAGGGCATCCTTGAATCTTATTTTGCTTGAGGTGGATAAGAGCATAATTCAGTGCCGCTTCATGCACACGCTTCAGTTACCATTCTCTGGTAATTTGACAAGAAGACCTTCATACCAATCCGCAAGTATCTTGTCTTACCTCCACAACTAAAGCTGTAATGGCTTTACCAACTTCACAGAACTCCGAGTCCCTTTTCAATGGCTTCTGGTAAGGTTCTGTCTGGTCCTGCTATTTAAGAATTATTACATGTCTCTTCCAGTCTACACTGGTGTATATCAGCGGTTGAATGCATGCCAGCACCTCAGGGAAGATCCCGATTCGATTATCAGCCGATGCAGACCCTAACTTTACCCAACTGGAATATTAAATTCGGAAAGTAAAAGGGAAGGTCTGGCGTGGGGCTCCACTTTGTTGAAAAAAAAAACACCACTACTGAAACCTAAATGTCTTGAAGCCCTATGTTCCACTCGGAATCCAAGAAATGCGAAGAATGAAAAACCCACTCATGTACTTATCATTGTATGACAACTTCACACAGTAACGTTTGCTGAAAGTTGACAAAATTCTTCGTCTTCACTTGTAAGGTCATTTGAATTCATTTCTCTACCGAGAATACAAGAAAATGAGTCACATAATTTACCGTTAAATGTAATTATTACACGATTAAGACAATAAAGTGAACTCCAGACACACACATATACACAGAGAGAAATAGAGAGACACACACATGCACATCTAAATAAGAATGCCAATATATCTTGTTAAAATTGGATATAGAGAAGAGAAGAACATCATAAAATGAGAACATGAATTCAAGATGTTTAAAAGTTAAGAAAAGGAGAAGAACATGGAAACTATCTTAACGCAAATTTAACCAGTTAAATAATAATAATGATAACACTAATAGTAATAAGAAGGAAATATTATATCATACAAACTCTATAATACACTAGAGAAGGCAATTTATCAAAATTCTTTCGTGGTTTACACATAAACCAAAGAAGAGATAAAATAATGTAAATAATGTAATAATTTAAACAATATCAAGTTAAATTCATAAGAAGAAAAAAATATGCTGGTGGTCTTAATAACTTTTGCTTTCAGGAAATTAAAAAAGAGGAATTTTATATTTAATGTTAAAACTGCTTCTGTTACTGGTGTTGGTGGTGTTATTGTTCCTGTTGTGTTGACTGCACGCAATTCTTGAAAATTAGGATTTTCGATATCCAAACAACATATATATATATATATATACCAGTAAGAAATATGTTTTTCAAAGGAGAAAAAAGATGTAGGAAGAGGTTTTCTACAAATTTATTGATTATCCACAATTTAGGAAGAACTACGAAGAGGACTAAGATGACGACGAAATATATATATATATATATTTATATGGATATATATATATGCAAATCTAATTAGCTATTTTGATTAGTTTTTTTCCCATCTCCTACTTTCACAACATCTTTCTCGTTCACTTTCACATTTATTTTGTCACTCAGTATTCGCCAATCAGGATTTGTTGGAAATGGATGTAAGGCGAAAACTGATAGTTATTTGTCATCTAATAATTGGACATCACACCAATAAAAATTGACATAATGTGTGTACGCGAGATGGAGGTAAAAGAAAAAATGAAAGGAATGATTTACTCACCGATCGGTTAATTTTATTGTGAAAAGACCACAAAGCTTTTATCAGACTACAAAAATATACCGTCAATATGAATTAGTGGTCATATATATATATATACGGATACATATGTGGTGACATATAGTATCAAGTTGTTCGCCATAACCAGAATAAAACAGGGGAAAAAATAATTATTTCACGGTTGTTACATATAATAAATGGCTTACCAGCATGCAAATAAGCTAATAACCAGTAACTTCAGCACCTACCTCTGAGTACTGAATAAACGAAAACAAGATGATGTTAGTACGCCTAATACGTAAATCCATGACACGTTTTGCTTTTCTACAAGAAATACAATACAGTATAACATGTTCAAGTGTTGGTTTGTAGGGATTTGATTTATTGGTTACAGGACTTCATCATGAGCTGACATTAGTTAGAGAACCATTGGAAAACCTGGGAGTACTGGACAGCTGTTTCGTCCTACTTTGGTAGTGGGGTGGAGCAGGTTGGGTGTGAGGACGAATACTCGCCGAAGACATTGGCTAGCGGTTGCGCTATATCGTGAATTGGCAGAAGTTAGAATTCATCGGCTGGCCATTGGATCGGGTCCCAGTGGCTTAATGGCCTACGCGCTCGCCTTGTGACCGGAAGGTCCTGGGTTCGAACATTGACGGTGGGTGCGTACTGCTGAAGAGTCCCAAACTAGGACGAAACAGCTATCCAGTACTCCCAGGTTTTCCAATGGTTCTCTAACTAATGTCAACGGTATAACATGGTTTTTATTGAGATTCAACGGTGTTGACGATATAATCACATGTGAACTCATGGGTATAGTTGGAGACTTTTAATATAGATATTAATATTAAAGCAACTATCTAGTTATTTCCTAGTTTTCAGTATTTCTGTTACTAATATATTCTTTTGAGATTTGAAAATAAACGGAATATTGTTAAAGTTATTTATAGGATATATGATTGTGAGTGAACTGGTGTATATTTGGATACATTTATTCTAATATGTTTGAATGGTCTAGCAACATATCATTTACCTTC